GCTTAGCTAGGGGTAAAACTCTTTTAATCTATCTGTTGCTTTGGTTTGCGAATATTTGAAAAAGAGGGGAAATTATTTCGTTTTATGAAGAGTAGTTTCTAAGCTAATCCTGGGAAAAGAATTGCGAAGAATAATATTATGTGCCCAAACGACAATGTATTGCAATGAATGGTTTAGAGTGTGCTAAAATATGGTGCAGCGCTTGTTAGTATTCTGTAGGTATGACGAAAGATAGTTTCTTATCGATAATTAGCGGACAGTTATCTTTACATTTATTATTCAGACACAATATATGTTTTACATTAGAACTCTGTTTGAGTTATCGAACTTAGTCTTGTTGATGCGTATTATTTATATAAATGAAAACATATAGTGTTTTCGATGCAACTATACGGTTGTGTTCATGAAACTATGTTGATTAAAAAAAGTGAAAAGTCAAATAATTTATTCTGTAATATCAGACTGTTTATGAAAAGAAGGTGAATGCTTGCTAGAACGTCATATAAGAAAATAGCGCTGACAAATGATTCTCGAAATTCATCCTTGAGGAAGTGTACTTTATATGAAATTCGTTTCAGAGCGATTATTTTGGGAAACAATTTGCTTTAGAAGTAGTATTCCTTGAAGAGATTTTCCATTTTGGTAGTATGAATCTGACTGTTGCGAGTCAATTTTCTCTTCATCCACAGCCACCGGAACCTTTAATCGCACATGCTCTTGAAGGAGTATTTGTCGGAAGTCTGTTGTTGTAACAAATATGTAACTATGTATTACATATTCTTGTTTCTCTCCTCTTTGTCTTGATCTGTTTTGTTTTTGTACCTCTTTTGTTGCTGTCTAATGCTACTCTTCTCATATTTATATATACTAAACTATACTATTTTTTTTTCTGTTTCTATTTTCTTTCTTTCTCTCTCTTCTAACTCAATCATGTACTGTAAGGACCTTTAAGGTCGTCAGTCCCATTTTGCCTAAATAAATAAAAAAAGTATTTGTCGGAAGTATTTCTCACGAAAGTATCGAAGAGGTTATTTATAATATGATGAACTAGTTTCTCGCAGATTAATTTCTGTCAAAGGCTGATTTTTATTATCGAAATAGTATTTAACCCTTCGTGGTTGTCGTGGGGTCCACGCGGACCCATTTCACAGATTTTCATTCAAAAGTACATCAAGGGCTTCTCTATTTGGCCTATGCTTTTATATCATCGCTGGTCCTATGCCGGTCTATATCATCCTTATTTCAAATCACAGATAAGTCTAATAGATAAAAAACGGCGCTATGGGTCCGCGTGGACCTCAGGACAACTTTACTCTTTTCAACATATTTTTTTCCCTAGTAAAGCTACCATCTGTTGATTTATAGCTATTTTTAAAATAATTTCTTTGATTCATTACTAAGTTTACTGTTATGTTGATGATTTATAATGTCGTTCAAACGTTTAAGTTTAATTTATGTTATTTTCTTACGATCAAAAGTACATTTACTGCTTGTAATTTGTTTAAAAGATTATGTTTTTTGATACATTTGCATTATTTCTAAGAGAACAAACTCATCAATCTTTATACATAATGATGTCTATGTCTTCATATAAGTCGAATGGAACGCGTAGAGATAAGGAAAAATTCGTTTTTTGCATTTTTCTGTAGATGGGACCAAGTAGACCCCACGACAGCCATGAATCACAAAAATGAGGACAGCCACGAAGGGTTAAAAAAAAGTTGTTTACATATAGGTAAAACACAAATAATAGTGTTTTATCTCTTTTTGTCGTTCTTATCTGAACATTGTATGTTTATGACATCATACTTAGTTTGAAACGTGGAATATTTATAAGAAATTGAATAGAAAGAAAAAAAGAACTGGTTTTTCCAAGCATCAGGACACTAATTTTCATATTCTCATAAAGTAAGAAGTGAATTTTTATAGAGAAAGGTCACGTATATTTTATTGAAGTCATTGTACTTGCATAGAGATTGCAGTAATAAAAAATAATTCGAAAGTTAATGAATAAAATTTAGGCGATGATGGTAGAAAAAAGTTTACCTGATATCGGTGATAACTATCTACGATCGCATTGAACCGTTGGCATACGTTTCTCATGGAACACAGCATTGTAAGAATCGATTGGTGATCAAGAATTCGGTAGACAAGTTCTACCGGTAATGTAAGGAAATTGGTGACTGTTTGATTTGCCATTGTCAATTGCTGAAGAAAGGTGTGCTTCGTAGCTTTATATGTTGGTTATATACACTGTTCTCTATCTTATCATTAAATGAGTGAATATTTGTTTTGTGTCATAGATTTTACATGATGGTGTAATTACTTGTTGAAAGAAAAAGAATGATATCAACTAGAAAATAACAGAATTAATATAACAACTGTAAGCAACGTGTTTGTTAAGATTGTTTTATCGATATAAAATGGTGCGTAATAGACATGAATATTGTGTTCTTGGTAATAAACACCAAAAATTAAATGACTTTCTTCGTTATTTATTTTGTTTAAAATCTATATTGTCATTAGATTGTAAATTTAAATATACATATTTTATAGGATGACGCAGAATTTGCTTTGATGAAACAGTTAGAGATGTGAATCGAGGAAAAAAAAAGAACGGTTTTCGAAGAACTTTGATAATGACGTTAAAATGAATATTCATCGAATAGATAATCTTGTCAATACAAAAATATTATTGATCATTTGAAAAGATATCGAAAAGAAGATCAAATCTCACAGTGGTTGAATGTGTAGATCATCGATATTTCTCGTGATGGACATTCTAATACTGAATCAGTTAATAAGGATTATATGGTATTAATAGATATTCATCCTCAACTCTTGATTATAGTATATTTTATTATTCTATATACAATACGTCAGAATAAAAACTTTATCCATTTAAACTTGCTAATGAACGACTAAAAATATGTTTATTGTATTTTTTTTAAATAAAATGATCAATATATTTTAATTAGAATGTGACTGTAGTAATGTGATAACGTAGGTAGGTAGATTTGTTAATAGGAGAAAAAAAATGTGCGTGATGGGTTATGTACACGCACAAAAACAAACATTCCTATATGATGTCATATTTTTCTTGTTTTTCAACTGATATCTAATAAACAATGAAGTTTGTCTAGTTGATTAATGTCTTATTATATACCAGACAGATTTCTCATCTCTGACTAATAAATAACAGAAGAGATGAATAACGTGTATATAATAAACTGCCTTACCTAATATGACGAAAAAGGTGATCACCTTTATGTACCACAAACTATTTTTATTCAAGGATACATACAAAGAAAAAAATCAAATACGTCTTACTGATTTATGTGCATTAAATGATGAAAATGAATGAGTATACAATAAAAAATATCCTTTCTCTATCTCTCCCGAGAGAATGATTGCAAGTATTATTTAGTATAAACAGAGACAGTTGGACAAAGTATTATAAAGTTTGCATATGCTTCATTGATCTTAAAATCACGCACGTACATGTCTTATTGATTCTTTATCTATACATATATAATAGTGAGATTTTTGCTGAAAAACATACTCACTCATATATTCACCAAACATCCAATTTTTATTACAAATTTGACTTATA